GCACAGCACAGCCCTCGGCAGGGCACATCAAAATCGATACATTCAGCATGGCATTTGCCCGTCACCCAATCAGGTGTCTTTGAAAAAGTTGCCATGCGCTACAGTTATACATATATATACACATATTCCTTATTTCCGGGCTCGTGGGTCGATCATGTGTGTTAAAACGAATGTGCACACGGCGCGAAAGCGAGAAACACATTTTGAAAACTACCCGCCCTTCATTTGTGAAACTGCTGCCGGTTCTTTAGTTTCAAGGTCATAATTGGTGAGGATGTCTAAGGCGAAACGCCCGGCCCGCCCTAAAAACTGGCCTCGGGGTGCGACAGAGAGAAATTATGTATAAGGAGGAGGAAAGGAGGCATTCATTTCGGACCTCCCGAGCGACGTGAACCCCACCTCCCTCCCTCTGAAATCATGGCGTGGTGGGGCAGGGCTCGAATGTGGCCCCCCTACGCTGTCGCCCCGTGTCGGGCCGCGGGGGCCCTCGCAGATCGAGAGCCGGCTCGAGAGAGGGCGCGCGCAGAACGCTGGGGTCCAGGGATCCACTCGTGATTTTGTTTGCGTTGTTGCATTGTTTTGCAACGTCGGGCCTCAAGACCCTGCGGGGGCTCGACGGAGAACCATCGGCGCTGGGCCCCCTGGCGGCGCCTCGGGCGCCGCCGCTGGCACGCTCCTGCGAGGCGGGGATTCATCCATATCCACCGCCTGGGAAGCGACGTCCTGGCGTCCATGTCCACCGCCCGCCGAGATCCCCGAAAATTGATCCTGCGGGCGGCGGTTATGCATTAACTCCTGCCTCGGGGCCCCGCGCGACAGGGGGCTGCGGGCCCGGCGCAGACCCGAGAAATCGTCGACCTGCGCGGCGCCCCCCTCGGAGCCGCGAACCTTTTTGACCCGAGAGGGCTGCGGCACAGCGCCCCCCCAACACCCCAGAACTATGCCCATAGCTGCGGCACGCCTCCTCGCCGCGCCTTTGCGGAGCAAGGCGCGGCGCCCCGCCCCGGCGGGGCCCCCCGCCGGGCACGGCCTCTCAGGGGTCGTTGGTCGGCAAGGTTCGCCTCCAGGACTGTCGCGCCGAGGCCCCGCGCCCGCAGCGCGGCCCTCAACTCATCCACCCTGTCGCGCATCAGCTCGTCCCTGACGGCTATCTGCTCGCCACTGAGTGGAGCGCCGTGGAGCTCCTCGCACTGGCACTCCACGATCCTCGACGCGACCTGTCGTCGCTGCCGAGGTCCTTCATCCTTGGTCGGCGCGGTGCCTCCCGCTGCCGGTCTCTTGTCCGCGCTAGCCGAGGCTGGAAGCAGTGCTTCCCGCTCTCGTCCGCCCTAAGCGACCGCGCTCTCTGCGGCTGGAGGCGGTGCTTCCCGCTCTCGTCCGCCCTGGGCGCTTTCGCCTCGCCCGTCGCCGGTGCCCCCCAGCGCCTCGCCGCCCGCAGCGTCGGGCCGACGCCCCCTCGAGCGCCTCCTGGCGAGGCAGCACACCGGCACCGTGGCTTCATGAACAGGAACAGCGGCATGACGATGCCCATCGCGCTGCCGTCATACGGGCCTTCTCCCGCGGCTGCAGCGCCGCCCGCTACGCCGCCCACACATGCCGCTGCTGTGACTACCCTCAGCATAGCCGCCGCGGAGCCGCTCACATGGCCAGCCGCGCGCCCTCTTGTTGTTAGCCCCATGAGCTTCAGCAAGACCTCGACCCTCGAGCCGCCCAGGTACTTCGTTCCGATGTCTGCTCGGTTCACCGCCGCGTCAAACTTGGTCACCTGAGGATCCTTCCGTCCGCGCGCGCTCCTGCATCCACGAGTCCTGGATGCGGAGATGCCGCGCTCGGCCTGGCCCCACTCGGTGGGCCATCCCCTTGGCGGCCGAGCAGTCCGCGCCAGCAACTCCCTGCGCGTGGGCCCCGCACAGCGCAAGGATCTGCTGCAACAGGATAGAGGGACAGGTAGGTCAGCACTCCGCCTGCCTCGGGAATCAACCTCTTGAGCCGATCGTCCACGACCGCCTCCTTGGGCACGGAGCCCCCCGTGGCCTTCGAGCATGGGCTCGTCTGAAGCTTCGTCGTGTCAGCTGGCAGGTCCAAGAGCTCGAGCAGGCTGTCCACGCGCGAGTCATCTGATCTCCACACAAAGCGAGGAGACGGAGTCACCCGCCACTCGATGCGTCGCTTGAGCAGCCCGCCGTGATCGCCGCCGGTGGCAGCCGGCCCCACTCGACCAAGCTTCTCGATCTCGATGTGCTCCTCCAGCAGCGCGTCGAGCACGCCCAGCTTCGCCGAGATGCCCTCGGCCACGAAGTCGTCACCGCGCACGCTCAGCGCGATGTCCAACGCGTAGTTGTAGAAGGCGCCAGGGCACGGCGCGATCCGAGCCCATGGTGGCCGATCCCGAAGACGTCGCCGACGCGCGCCTGCCGCCGCCTCGACGCAGGCCTGGTGCCGTAGAGCGCCTTGTGGAGCTGCCAGACCCGCCCAGGCCGACGCAGTCCTGGCGGCGGCATCACGCACAGCCACTCGTCCATGTCCGCGCGGAGGAACGCCACGCTGGCATCGCACAGCGCCACTTGCCTCTGACCTGATGGGGGCTTCGAGGCAGCCAGGGACACCACCAAGCGCAAGTAAAAGAGGTACGGCGCACCTGCCGCCACGTCGTCGCGCTCGAAGAGGTGGAAGTCCATGGCCACGAGTCCCGACCGTGCGAAGGGCGCCCCACCTGGCCTGCATCGGAGTCCGTCAAGCCACCTGCTCCGCACGCGCCCGCCTACGCTCGAGTCGTCGGACACGCCCTCGTAGACACCGAACGCGGCCATTTGCTTGAGCTCCTGCTGGCGCCCCTGCACCACGAGCTCCCCCGGGAACAACTCGCCTGCGCGGCTGTCGTACACCGCCGTTTCCGGCACGAGGTCGCAGGCCCATGCTGTTGGAGTCTCCCGATCGCGCACGGACGCTGCGAACAGCTGCAGCCTCTCGCAATCCTCGCCGCCGAGTCCCAAGTAGGCGACGCCCGCGGGCACCGCGAGGTCGGCCGCCCTGCGCGCCTTCAGCCGTGGCACACGGTCTGAGGGAGCTGCCAGTCGGCCCCTCGCGCCCACGCCCACCCCCGCGGAGTTGCCCGCCGAGCCGCTCTCTGCAGGAGGTGGCCGGGATGAACTCGCAGGTGCTGATGCAGCACCTGCTGCTCCTGCCATCGCGGCTGCGGGGTCGTCCGCTGCCGCATCCACTTCCACCCCTGGGGCTGCGATGGCGTCACCTGGCAACGGGTGGACCGGTGCCTGCCGATTCGCCTCGTCCAAGAGCCCCCCCTCCATGCGCTTCCTGCACTCTCGGGGGCGCGCCGCTTCGCCTCCCCAGCACCTCGGACAGTTCAGGGTGGGCCCGTAGGTCTGCGCCGTCCTCTTCGTCGCGTAGGTGGCCCGCCTGAGCCTCGGCTCGGGTCGGGGTCCTGGCCGAGCGCCCAGAGCTCCCGGAGGCGGGCGCGCTGGTTCTTCCGCCGCTGGAGCTGCTGCTGATGCTGCTGCTGGAAGCGCCTCCTCGGCCTGGCGCTGTTATGCCTTCGCCTGGCGCGCCCTCGCCACGTCGTCGCCGCGGCGGGGCTCGGCGCCTTCCCCAGGGCTGCTCCGCCGCTGTGTCCGCGCGCTCAGGCTTGGACTGGAGGTCCCAAGGCAAGCCCGCGAAGCTGTTTAGCGCGTCCACGTTGAGCCTCCGTTCCATCGGTTGCCTTCCGATCACGCGGCGGCGGCTGGTCTGCCGCGACCCGCCGACCAGGCGCTCGTCGCTCGTCTCGGCCCTGCCCAGCCAGACACCCAAGCGCCACTGGGCCTCTGCCTTCCGAGTGCGGTCGCCAGGCGCTCGTGCCCAGACGACCTCTCCGAGCGCGTCCACCTCCCCTCGGCAGGGCTTGCCCCGATTGACGCGGCAGGCCATCCTGCCGGAAGCCTGTCTGGCAGCAAACCGTGCGAGGAGCCACCCAGCGCGCCTGATCACCCACGGCATCACCCTCTGGAGCACGGGGGCACGCGCGCCCATGCCCGACTCGAGCTGGAGCTTGGCTTGATCACGCGCACCTGCTTGGCCACCTGGTCGGTCATGGCCTCAATGAAACCCATCGACGAGAGGCTCCTGGCAGGCGCTGCCGCGAGCTGCCACTTGAAGCCCTTCATCTTCCGTTCCTCGGAGATCTGCTCGGCCAGCGCTTGGACTGCTGGCTCCTGGTCGGTGCGCGGGATGCACTCCGCGACAACCCAAGCGTCGATGGCTGCACTCGCTGCAATGGACATGACGGGATGCAGACCCTTCGGCCCCAAGACCGCGCGCACTGCAGTAGACTGTCGGCGCGCCACCACCAGCACGTTGAGCAACACCTCCACGCCGTCGCCAGCGACTGGGTCCACCAGCTGGGGTATCACGACTGCTTGGTCGATCTGCTGATCCGCTGGCACCAACCACGCCTCGCCGTCGGCCGAGGCCGCCAGCCCCTCGGCTGTGACCACGGCGCCGAGCTGCAGGTGGTACATCTGCACCTCGTCGAGGCTGCCAGGCCCGCCGCCCTCTCGGCGCGAGAAGTCTGCCGCCTTGGCTGTCACGCACTTGTCGCGCCAACCTCTCGGTGGCAGGTGGGCGAGCTCGTGATTGTCGATCTCCTCCTGACTGGGGAGCGGCGGCACCCGCTTCGCCCTGGCCGGCACCTCGTCGGGGCCCTCCTCTGCCAGCGGTGCCTCCTCGTGCCGGGGCCGCCCGGCCACCGCGGGGGCTGCTGCCGCGTGCGCTTCGGCCCCGGCTGGGTCGAGCCGCAGCGTTTCGGACGTCGTCGCGGCGGCTCCCGCGACGCGCCCTCGCATCCAAAACAAGTTGTCCTGTCGCACAAGGGGCACTTTTGCAGCGCCCTCTGGTAGGCTGAGCGCCGCGGGCACGATGTACGAGCCCGTCGGGGAGAACAGCGCAGAGTGGCCGTTGTCGCGCGCCTCAGCTACCCCCATGATGGGGCGCGAGACGTCAGCGACCTGGCAGTCGATGTCCACTCCGCGCACGTCTGAGCTGCCCGGCAGGTCGCACAGCACGTTCTTCTCGCCGTAGTGCTTCACGCGCCTGCCGTCCGCGGCGCGGATGTCGCAGCGCAGGGCAGGCCCACGCATCGCCACGCTTGGGGCATGGCTTCGCGGGCACGTCGCTCTGGAGGCCCCTGAGTCCACTACGATGTACTCGCCGGAGCTCTCGTTGTCGCCTCCTGGGCCGCCAGCCTGAGAAGCTCGCGGCATCGAAATCCGATTCGCAGGATCGGCTGCCTGGGCCGCCAGGCGCACCACCCACTGGATGGCGGACGCGGTGCCCCCTGCAGCCCCGCCACCGCCAGAGCTGGCGCCGCCGCCGCTCGGAGCAGCCGCTGAGCTCGCCGCTGACAGCGGCGCAGCGTCGGCACGCGCCTGCGCGACGCGAAGCAGTTCAGTGACCGCACCCAGAGAAGGAATCGAACAGGGCAGGGCTGTTTAATAAACGCCCAGGGCCGTTTAGCAAACGCCTATTATCGGGTCTGGGTGGCTTTCCCTCCCTTGACATAGGGAGCTCCACCGAAAGCCCCAGCGGAACCGTCCAGCGGCTGGACCGGGTTCGCGCGCACGGTTCCGCCCTGGACGATCGCGGCTTTGAAGTAGCGCAGATCGCTCGATGTCAGCCACCTCCAGACCGCTGGCAGCGTTGAAGCTTGCACGCCCGCGCTGGGGTCGCCGCCGCGTCAGCGCGGCGCGAGCCTGCCTTATTCTCCGACCCGCCGCCATGCAAGAACAGCCACGCCGTGGCCAGCCAACAGTGGAGCTCGCCGCCCCATCGCTGTACGCTTGATCTGTTCCGGGCTGGATCGACCCGTTGGGGTGTCCCATGGCCTGGAACGTGGCAGAAACGCCCGTGGTGATGTTTGCACGGACTCCTCAGGGGTCAGGGTTCCAGGAGAGTCCCTGGGTCCTTCAAGTGGTCTCCAGGGGCTTCGCTGGAGCCTCCAGAGTTATTTTGCTGCCCCTTCCAGGGAGGGGTCTCCGCATGCTTCGGGCCTCCAAGTCCAAGCTCACACCTCTAACGTCATGCAGTTCGTCAATTCGGAACACCCGGTGCCCACGACACCCTTTCGGACAGTTTAGGCCGACATCGAAGAAAAAATACTGTCATTGCAACATCTCGGCGTCGGAGGTCTGGGCTCGGGGGCAAAAAGTCGACCCCATAGACCTCTGAAAAAGAGCACTCCAGACAGAGCGACGAGAAGCCTCTGGGAGGCCAAAAACATACAGTGGCTGGGGCCGCCACCATGACCACGTCGGAGGGTGCCGCCGCCGTTGCCGTCGTCGCCGTCGCCGTCGTCGCCGTCGTCGCCGCCGCGGTCGCCGTCGTCGGCGGCGGCGCCGGCGGCGTCGGCGGCCTCGGCGGCAGCGTCGGCGGGATCGGCGGCGTCGTCGCCGCCGTCGCCCTCGCCGCCGCCGCCGTCGCCGCCCCGCTGACCAGGTCGGAGGGCGCGTCGCCCGCGCCAGACACGTCGGCCCCAGCGGCCTCGGGGCGCGCCTCGGCCGCGCCGCCGTCCGCCTCGCCCTCCTCGTCCTCCTGGTCGTCGCCGCCTGGGGCGGGATGTTCCGGCGGGGGCAGGGCGCAATTGAGCGACTCCCGAGGACGCCGGCCAGCGGGGCCGCCGGTCACCAGGGCCGCCGCCCTCTGGGAGCATCGCTGCATCCAAGCCCATCCCCACCTGGCTTTGCCTTGGCCCCATTGGCCGAGTGGCCCCCCTGGGTGGGAGGGAGCTGTTTCCGCGGGAGCTATCCCCACCCCCCGCGGCGGGGGGGGTAGGCCTGAGGTATCATGGGCCACTGGGGATGGAGATCGGTTGGACGATGCTGACCCCCCCTGGGTAACGTCACTGTTGGCGCCTCCGATTGCCTCGGGAGGGGACCTCCGAGAAACTCCACAAACCTCCGGGGACCTCTGAAGGCCTCCGAGAAGACCTCCGGGGACCTGCGGACGGATGCGGATGCTCCAGACGACGTCTGTCATCGTCGTCGCCGTCGCCGCCGCCGCCGTCGTCGTCGTCTGCGTCGTCGTTTTCTTCGTCGTCGTAGTCTTCGTCGTCGTAGTCGTCGTCGTCGTCCCTAGCCATTCCCAGACGCCGCGGGCGCAAAGCATGACTTTACCAGGCCCCGTTATTGCGGCAGGATCGAAGAACGAGCTCCAACATGCGGGCAAAGCTCCGGAGTCCTCGGTGGCCGCCCCGGCTGCCTCAAGGTATGCCCCAGGCCCTCCTGGACGGCTGGAATCAAATGGAGCGGCAAAAGCGAGGGGCTGTCATCCTCCTGCTCCTCCTCCTCCTCTTCCTCCTCCTTCGCACTTCAAGTATCGAACTGTAAGGATCGAGGTTGATGGACGGGCTTCGCTCTTTGCAGGCCTCTGGAAGCGCTCCCCACGACACGACGGCTTAATTCCCCTCGAAGGTATAATCACAACGCGCCCTGGACAGGTCCGCTGGACAATGTTTGGAGCATTCTGGCGGTACCCTGCGCTGGCCTTCAAGATGCCAACATGTAGATGAAGCGCACTTGTTGTTTCACGATGTCATCAACAATCCTTCAACCACAATCTACATATGTTTTAAGCGATTTCGAAGGCGGGTCGACCCAAACACATCCCCCTCGTCATGACCCTTCCGCTCGTATACGAGAACGGCGCCCATGCACCGCACCATGCTCATACTCCTTTGAGCCCCCGCTCCAACACAGCACGGTGCATAGCCTTTCGGCGCCGGGGGCCGAGAATCTATGCGCTGTGCCATTCCTGGGTCGAGAGGATCGACGACGCCTCGTCCATATGGCCACGCCCATTCTGTGGCGCTGCCAACTTCCGGCGGTCACACACCCGTGTTGGCGGGCATGCTGTGCGATCCCTCTCGGGAGCTCTCTGGGGGAGCCCTCGGGAGCCTGGCCCCGTGACCCAATGGGGCTATGAGTTCCCATGATGGCCATGACCGCCTCTCCAGCACGGCGCCCTTGTGACGCGAAGAAAACGGACGGCGGCATTTACGCCTGGCCCCCTCCCCGCCGTCATGCGTCCTCCCTCCCCCCGAGGAGGAGCCGCGAACGCAGCAGGAGGTGTGAGCAGGAGGAGAACGCGAGCGAGGGGCACTCTGCAGCAGCAGCATCCCGAGCCGGGGGACCAGGAGGAAGGGGAACACCGTTACAGCGTCAACACGAGAGGGCGGCCGCAGAGCGCGTGGGAGCACTTGCCCTCGCGCCATCGCCCGTGTCGGGCACTCGAGGGGCCACCTTATCTGACGATCGAAACGGGAACACCTCGACCGAAACACAAGATTGAGGAGAGAAGGATGGTTGGGCGTTGCTTGATGGGGGGCGTTGTTGCACTGCATCCTGTGTGGAAGCAAGTCGCCCTCAGCTTCTAGCCAAGGAGCACGAGGAGATGCAAGACAATGGTGAGGAGGACGAAGGGCCGCGGCGATCATTCTCCTGCTGCTGCGCATGTTTCTACTGCTGTTCCACCCTCCCCCGTCCGGGCCCTCACCTTCCCCCTTTCGCCGTGTCCCCAAGGAGGGCGCGGGCGATCGGCACGGAGAGGCGCAGCAGCAGCGTCTGGAGAGGGGCGAGGTGAAGAGCAGCAGCAGGAGGCTGCGTATACGCTGCTGCCGCTCCCCCCTTCGCCGCCGTCGTCGCCCGCTGGTCTCAGCTGGCTCAGCTGGCCCGGCGCGGTCTGGCCCGGCGCCGTCTGCACCTCGGCGCCCCCAGAGAGACTCCGAGAAAGAGGAGGAGGAGGAGGAGGAGGAGGAGGAGAAGGGAGGGAGGGAGGGAGGGGGGGAGGGAGGGAGGGAGGGAGGAGGGAGGAGGGAGGAGGGAGGATAGAGGAGGGAGGAGGGAGGAGGAGGGAGGAGGAGCGACCAGAAGCCGAGGTGCGCTGGGATCCGAGAGAAAGGGAAACGCTCAAGCGCCGCACCACCCCACCCCAGCAGTTGCACGGTGGAGCCACAAGGGCCAGGACCACCTTGCAAACGCCAGGGAGGGGAGAGAGGTGACTGAACGCCTCCAAGCGGCCGCCTTCGGCGGCGCAGGCAGGGAGCACGGGGCCTGCGGCAGGCCTGTGCTCACCAGCACGAAGCCCGCCGTGGCGAGGTGCCATAGGTACGGCACGGTGCCGAACTCTCGAACGAACGGCATCCCCACCAGGAGGCCGCTCAGCCCGTCGTTGACAAAGTCGACGGGGCAAATGAAAGTGAGAAAACTCAGGCAGACCAGGATCAAACACCAGTATACTGAAATGAGAAGAAGGCGGCCAGACCGACCCCCCCCCCCCAAGGTGCAAGCCACGTGGGCCAGAACATTAAGGGCTGGCCGCCGAAGGTGGGAGCAGAATGTCCCTGCCAAGGGCGCATGGCACAAGGGCCAAGAACATTGAGGCCTGGCCGCCGATGGCAGGGAAGCGTCGGCCCGACCGCTAAACCATGACAAAATCAATTTCAGCATCGCTGTCTGACTCACGTGGAGCTCCCAACTCCAAAGCTTCAGGGTATCAAAGACCATAATCCTTCAGAATAGCGCTTGTGTCCAAATAGCGTTGGGGTTCAGCACGTACAGCACGTACTCGGCCTTTTGGTCTGTCGACGATTTCAGACTCATCCCTGAGTGGGTCCCTCCAGCCTTTGGATTTGCACACCAGGGCTCTGACTCTGGCCGAGGGTCGCCGAGCCCCCAGCAAAGCAATGTCTTTGTGCAGCGACTGAGGATGTCGGAGCCTGCTGAAGTGCCCGGTGTTCTCAGCAATCCTTCCGCTGCCACCTTCTCTGCCGCAGCACACTTGGTCCAGCCCTCTGTGGTTGAGACTGCCTGCGTCCGAATACTTGCAGCAGCTGGTGCAGAAGATGAGCGAGCGATCGTGGCCGACCACGGGGTACTCCAGCAGGGCATGTTTCTGGACCAACCACGGCCAGGGCAAGAGGGGTTCCCTCGCCGCCGCCTGCTGCTGTGGCGCGGCCAAGTCGTCCTCCTCGGGTCCGGGGAAGAGGTAATCCTTGAAGTCGTCGCCCTGCACGTGGAACCAGACCTCAAACTGGGCGATGTATCTCAACAGCATCTGGTGAAGGCGCATCGCGCCACGAACAAGCTTCTCCTGAGCTTCCGCCGCTGCATGGAAGGATGCCCCTGCTTTGGCCAGCTCGTCGACCTCGGCATTCCCAGCGCGATCGAACAAGCTGATGGCGCCGTCCCTGACATCCTCCACGCTGGCGCGTGCCTTCACGTGAGCCACGGGCGCCCTGCAGAAATCGTCATTCAGCGCCGTCCCCCTCCACATTTGCGCTCTTGGATTGCCTGGTCCACGCGCTGCCGCCATGCTGTGACAACAGCCGACCGAACCCTTGCAATCCGACTTGACCTGGTACGAGCCCATGACCAGCTCGTTTGCCTTCATGATCGCATAATGCTCTCCGTCTCGGGCCACTTGACTGGGCCCTTCACGTCGAGGAACAACGCCATAGCATCGAGCCACTCGTCGCCTGTCCGCATCGTAGACAGCGACCGCCCAGCCAGCGGACCGCAGCTCAGGCGGCACTCGAACTGACCGCGCGCCCCCGTCGACGAAAACAGAACCCCCGTTGACCGCTGTCACACCTCGGCGATCCACATCAATCATGTCATATTGGCTGGTTCGGCCTGCTCCGTGAAAAGCCTGCCCTGGGTGTGGGAGAAGACCTCGGGCGAATCGCTCTTGCCTGCCCTCCGCCTCACACCTCATTCGCTGCGCCGACCTTCTTCAGGCGGTATGAGCAACTGCCGTTGGGCAGAAAAGGCGTCGCACTCAAAGAAACGATGAATCAGGGTGCCAGGCGCTGCCTGGCATCTGGTGCACAGCGAGGAGTGGCCTGCGAAGGCTCTAGCAATCCGAACTTGTGTCCAATGACTTCCAGTGATCACGCCCCGAAGCGAGTTCCTCTGGTGGGGCGCGAGGCGCTTGCCGCGCAGCGCCTCCAGGATCGACTGCCACGCGATGGGCCCTGTCCTGGTGGCGCCTGCTCCTTGCATAGTGGTGAGTGCATCACGGTCGACCTGGCGTCTGACCCCCAGCTTGACAATGCGCGCTATCCAACTGGCCGAATAGAATCTGAGGTCCCATGAACGACCTTCGTCGTCCAGTAGCGTGAACGGGCCCAGCAGCTTCCAACAGATCCTGTGCAGGCTGATCATGAGCGCCGCAATGGGGTTCTTGCACTTCAGCCATGCCTGGCGGTCGTCCAGGATCGGAAGCGTCGCCACCATCAAGGCCGACACTAAGGATGCAGTAATCGTCCCAGTGGACATGATGACAAGGTACGTGTGGATGGCATCTGACGTGGCGACGACCAGGGGATCGTTGCGCCACCCGCTCTCGGCATACATGAGAGAGAGGCCCGCTGAGGCTCCAGGCTTGAGCCGAGCGCCCGCGTTGATGAAAGACACCCTGAGCTGCTGGATCCTGCTCGTGGGCACCCCGGCGATGGAGCACCCCCATAGAGCCGTTGCGAGGACCCCCGAGCGATGAACCGCCGAGCGTTGCCTTCCCAATCCTTTAAGCGCCAGGTGCCTGTCTCCTTTAGTCATGGCGTCACGTGTGCGAGATAGCTGCGTTCCTGTGCGCCCATAACGCCCGTCGACAGCATCTCCCCCGAGGCCCCTGTGAAATTGACCCCGACCTGAAAAGGGAACTCCAGTAGGCCATGCATCAGCAACCTCGTCCTCGATCAGGCTGAAGGTCTCAGCGGCATTGCACAGAAACCCCATCTTGTCCCAAGACAGCGGCAAACCCCGAGCCTGAAGTAGGCCCACCGTCTCCTTGAAAGTGAAACTGAGCTCCCTAGCGACAATCTGCGGGCCCCCGACCGAGTGCAAACTTATTTCATCAACCAAGTTTTTGCTTCTGATGGAGCTGCATCTAGCCCCTACATGCCGTAGAACCGTCACAGTCATGAGCTTAGCTAGTCCAGCGGCACACGAACATCCTGCAACAATCGTCTCGTTGGCGTAGATCTCATGGGACGTCGAGTTCTGGTAGGAGGCCCGCCTGGGCCCTCTATACAGTGCGCAAAACGGCCTCAGAAGATTTTCCGGAAAACCAGCGTCCCTAGACGCACACAGCAACTCGGCATGAGACACCATTTCGTAAAACTTCCTGAGATCTACGAACGCGCTAGCACTAACGAAATTGAACTCAGGGGCGGCACTTGCTAGGACATTGTGGATCCAAGCCGATTTATCACACGAGGTCTCCGATGAGCCTCCCCAGAAGAAAGCGTCTGGTAGAGTCGACCCCAGCTTTGCAACGATGCGGCGCCTGAGGCGGGACCACGGGCGCGCGAGAAAAAGGGGGCAGACCGAAGACCGATTGGCCTCGCTCCTCCTGTGACCTTGGGCGGGGAAACTATAATGGTCAGCCAGACAGCTGCTAGCTCTGGATTCCTTTCCCAGGAGAGGAGGAGGAGGAGGGTCAGCGTCGAAACA